AAAAAAAACCAGGAAAAAAAAATTTTTCCCCTCCCAGGGTTCTGTTAAGAGATTCCAGAACTTAATGCAGTGTTAAATTGATGTAATTCGGGAAACTCATGCATTATTTCTTAATTTCTTAAAGGCGAGTTTGCACGCATCTGCTGGGGTAGGTGTGCATGCAGACAGATGGGCGGTGACGGGAGTGTGTGCCCCAGACTGGGGAGGAAGGGGGCAGCCTGTCCAGAATACGCCAAAAGGGAACACTCCATTCATGTCTGATGGCCAGAAATATGGGACAGGAGGCATTTGCATTTCATCTCTCGACTTCTGCTTTTCCGCTTGGATGGTCAGGGAGGGAGAGATTCCGAAACCTCTTCCTGATGGGAGAGCCTTGGGGTTTTCAGGGCAAATTTCACCATCCAAGGAGTTGTTTACACCCCTCCCCCACCCTGGGCAGCAGCTTCAGAGGCTCTGGCTGACACCCACCAGGTCTGCATCGTGTCATGAACATCCTTGGCCTTCGAGGACGCCCAGTTCACTGTGACCTTGAGCATATGCCACCAGCCCGCTCTGGGCCTCTGTGTCCCCAACCGTACATGGGTAAGCGGAGAAGCTTCTAGCTCCCTATCAGGCCCCGAAGCAGCAGCTCTTCGGGCTTCCCACCATCACGGCACAGCACAGCGCACGGGCCTCGGAGATGCTGGGGTCCTTGACTCTATCTGCCCCTCCCCCCAGCTACAGGATGTGGAGGGTGGAGGCCCTCACACCGAAGATTCTGCCAGCCCCTTTCCCACCACCGCCTTCATGAAACCCACTAGACAGGCACCAAGTCTCTGCATTGTTGAACGGGAAAACCCAGGCTCAGAGGGCAAGGGCTTTGCTGGTGAGTGGTAACACCGGGATGCCCAGAGAAGGCCCTCCAGAAAATTCCCAACCCGCTCACAGCTAAGGGGGAAAAGGAAGGAGCAGCTTGTCACAAGTGGGCCAAGCTGGCGTGTGGAAGGGGGTACGCTAGCAGAGCCAGGGGTGCTGGGACAGCCACGGTCTCAGCTCAGAGAGTTATTTACTCACATAGTCAGTTGTCAAACAGATCCTGAGCCTTGGTCACGTCTAGGGGCAGGTTTGACGGGTCTTGGGCTGTTCTTTACCTTTCTAGGGGGTCAACTATGGGGGTGTGTCAAGGAATGTGTGTGCTGGAGGAGGGAAGGCAGGGAAGGAAAAAAAGGGAGGGGGGAGGAGGGAGGAGGAGGCAGGAGCTCTTCCCTGCCAGTCCCTGTGCAGGGCGAGACTGACACCAACAGAGTGGGTGGCACCCGGCATTCCCAGGAGAGCGTGGCCCAGCGTGGGCAGGGCCCCTGGTCACCCTTCTCACTTTCACTGGCTCCAGACGTTCAGGGCCCCACCTTACAGAAGACTGTTTAGGAAACAAGGCCCCACAGTTCTTAGGGCTTGACTACTACTCCAGTAACTTCTAGAAAGAGTGGCTGGGCTGGGAAAAGCCACTCTCGGAGAGCCGGAGATGGGCTCTGAGTTCATTCTAAGATCAATATGAATCTGTTGTGTGACTCAGCTGGGTCAAAGCTCAAGCAAGAGGCTGAATTTATAGAGGTAGAGCATCCCCAAGAAGGGAGGTGATGTCTTTCATCTGAGCCTAACACGGGCCACACTCTGGATCCGCCCAAAAGAGAAAAAACAGAACAATGAGTAGGATGTGGGATTCAGCAGACCCTGACCTGCAGCGGCTCACTGCGTGGTGTCCGAAGAGCTACCATGGTTGCCGTCAGGCACGGGCTGGGCTCCAGGTGGTGGAGTGTACTGGTTAGGAGCGTGAGAGTAGCTGGGTCATTTTTAGCCTCTCTGAGCCTGTTTTCTCAGCAGTACAACAGGATCGATAACGGCCAGCTCACAGGGTTGGTGTGAGGACTAAATGGGATGATGGGGTTCAGTGCCTGCCCCGCACGGCGCCTGGCACATAGTAGGCCTCTGGGCCTTTGTGGTCGAGCGCAGTCCTATCGCTGTGCAGGTGCATCCTTAGGCTCATGGCGGTGAAGTCGTTTATCACAGACTCGGACAGTTAAAGCAGCCTGATCTGATGTCCACTCGCTACTTTCCCCTCCTAGCAGCCAAGGGCCTGGCGGGAAGGCAGTCCTCTCCCACCATGTGGCCGGAAGTGGGGAGCATCTGGCAAGGGCTGGGCCGATTGCCCCAGAGAACTGGAAACCAGACTCTTCTCCTTCTCACAAACCTCCCTCTTTCCACCCCAATCACAGGCTCCACCCACGGGCCATGGACGTGTCCAAGTGCTGAACTTGACCATCCGCCCCTCCTCCCTGCCCCACCCCCACTATCTAACCCACACCCAGGCTGGGTGGTGGTGGTGCCCAGCTCTCCTGCCCTAGCCCTGCTCCAGCTGCACCACCTTCCCCTGCTCACTCCGGCTGCAGCCCCTCCCTGCCCCACCACGCCCCCCTCCAAGTCCCGCCCACCGGTCCACAAGATGCCTCCCTCCCTGCCCCCTGTGTGCCCCCATCTTTGCCCGTGGAGGGTCTCTGCCCGGAACACTGCTGCTCCTCTCTTCTTCTGGCTGCTTCAGGCCTGCCTTCCGGACCAGGCTCCCCCAGCCCCGAACCCACCTCAGGCTCTCTGGGAAGATGCTCCCCACCTGCACCCCTGCCACTCAGCTTCCCCCAGGCAGGGCTCCAGCCCCACTGGCTTGTCGGGGGCTGTTTCCTTAAAAGCTGCCAAGAGCAGAGCTGATGCCCTTCAGCAGCAGGCATGGGGGCTCGCTGAGTTGGCTGAAGAAGGGGAGTGAGTGAAAGAATGAATAAATGGAGGGATGGATGGATGACTGGGACCGAGGGAGTGGCTCTCTTCCGGTCTCCTGATCTCCCGATCTCCCTCGGGACAGGCCTCACTCCCTTTCTCTTTCACTCACAAAGGTCTAAGCAGCACTCGCCCTGCCCCCACCCATCCTGTCCAATCCAGCTGCCCCGATAAGTTCCAGGCTGGTGGCCTGGGAGAGCGGGGGTGGGGCGCGCGCGCGCGCGCGCGCGCACACACACACACACACACACACACACACACACCCCACATGGCTCCAAGCCAATCTGCTCCCCCAGCTTCCCCATCATACCTCCCAGATGCCTGAGACAGAGTCAAGAATTCAGTGTGATTGGTGACAGTAAAGAAACAGGCAGAAACCCCTCCCTGGGGCTTTCAGCTGGAGCCATGAGGCGCTGGGGCTGCCTAGCTGCAGCGAACTTTCTGGCCACCTCTTGCTTCTGCTCCACATTCAACCCCCAGCCAGGACAGGCACAGCCAACAGCCTCTCTGGGGAGATGGATTCGCGCAGGGAGGTGTCCCACCCTGAGCAGTCACAGGTCTAGGGGATGGTGGGGGACTGACCCCCAATCCCGGGCGACCCTGACCAGCATGGGTATTGTCCTGGCTGACACCAAGGACCAAGGCTGGGCTGCCTGTTTCCCCACCACCTTCAGACCACCTGACAGGTGAGGGAACAGGGGGTGACGGAGGAGCTCCCCTAAGCCTGGTCTGAACGCAACTTGCTGGCTCAACAGTATTTCAATCGCAGCCTGGAGTGAAATTCACAGGACGACCGTTACTAAAGACACCCTGGGGTCCAGGCCTTCATTCCACAGACTTGGAAACAGGTCCAGAGAAGGACAGGCATCTGCCTAGGGTCACACCGTCAGAACTCACAGAGCTTTCTCGGTGTGACCTCGCAGCAACCTTCAGAGGTGGGAATGGCGCCCATGCTACTTTACAGATGGGGAAACAGAGGCTCAGAGGGGTCAAGCGCCTTGCTCAAGGTCACACAGCTGGGGGGGAGAGGGCTGGAGGCCGCCGGCTGTGATTCCTGGTGCAAGGCACTTTCTGCTCTTCCCATCCCGGCCTGGGCTCCCTTGGGCGGGAGGAGCCGTCACTAAGCCAAGGGATCAGAGAGGCCGAGAGAGGCAGGGTAGACACAAGAGGCCCACAGACACACTCCCACGGCAGATTATATAACTCTCCTTCCCAGCCCCACCGCCCCAGGGGTGCCACCCCGGAAACTGCACAGGGCACCAGACCCAGACGGACGGCCCTGACCCACCAGCCGGCATCAGTTCTCTCTGAAGAGATGACAGTTGGAGGCGCCGGGACGCGCTGGCTTTTTTTCCTCCTTTCTGGTTTCCTCTGGCTGAGTAACAAATACTAATACTAACAATGATAATAATAATTAGAATAAATATAACCTGAAGACGCTTGGGGTCTCGTTGCCATGGCAACCGCTGGAGCTAAGGCACTTCGGAGGCCGCCGCCGGGCCACCCGGCCCCAGGCGCGGGATCAATATTGATTCGGCCCCGGGAGGCGGCGGCGGCTCCCTTGGGGCCCCGCGGCGGGTTGGGAGCGAGGGGCAAGCACTTGGAGGGGTCTTCCTGGTAGCCCGCGCCGCCCAGCTGGGACCCCCGGAACCGGTCGGGTCCCCAGCATGGCTCCGGAACCCTGCCCGGCGCGCGCGGGGCTCCCGGTTCGCTCAGCTCCAGGACTGGTCCTCGGACGCCGGTCCCCACCTCGGACGCGGATGCCGGTCCCAGCTGCCGCGTCCCTGCACGGTGCGCCCTGGACTGGTCCTCGGACCCGGGCCCGGTCCTCTCCAAGGTCCAGAGACCCCGACCTTGGCGAGCCCTGGCGCGGACCGCAATGCCAGAGCACCGGCTGCCCGACAAGGCGTCTGCACCCAGAGTCTTCCCCGGGCGTACCCCGTCCCTTTCCACAGCACCCCGGACCCCCGATGCACCGAACTCACCTCTCCCAGGGAGCCCACCCCTCCCCGCCCCGGGCGCCCGCACACCTTCTCGGAAGCCGGGGCGCCGAAGACCCGCCCCCCACTGGCCGGAACCCTCCTCCGCCAGGAGCTCCGCCCCGACCCCTTTCTCCCACCCCTGCACCCGGACCCTGGCCCGGCGCTCCCCTCCCCCGCGCGGTCCCCGCCCGGCCCGCCCGGGGAGCCGCTCACCTTGTGCCCGCCGCCCGCTCGCTCCTTGCTCCGCCGCCGGGAGCCGGCGCCCGCGGGGCTGAGCCGCCTACCAGGGCGCGGGGCCGCTCACGCCCCCGCGGTGCCCCAGCCGCCGCCGCAACAGTTGTCCCAGCTCCGGGGGCTGCGGGGCCGCGGGGACTCGGGGCTCCGGGGCTGCGCCGGGAGAGCGCCCGCTCTTAGGCGCGCGGGGCGCGGGCTCGGGCTGGCGCTCCGGCTCGCGGACCGGCCGCCGGCCGCATGCCCCGCCGGCCGCCCCGCCGCGCGCCCGCCGCTACTGGGCGGC